GCAAAACACACACAAAAAGCGAAATGAACCCAAAGTAGATCTTCTTTTTTTTCTTTTTTCCAATTTTCACTTTTTGGTGTGTTTCTTCTTGGTTGGTGTTTGTGGTTTTCTTTTTTTTTTTTTTTTTTCTGACAGGTTTTCATGTAGCCCAGGTTGGCCTTGGCTTGCTGTGTAGCCCACCTAGCCTTCAACTCCTGATCTTTCTGCCTCAGCTTCCTGTGTGCTGGAGTTGAAGTGTGAGCTGCCATGCTTGGCTGTGGAGGATGTCTGCTCTTACCATACCTGTTCAATAAGGTATTGGATGGAGGATCTAGGGTGGGAAATAAATAGATGCAAATTGAAAAGGAAGAGATAAAATGATCCCAGTTTTCACATAAAATGCTGATTCACATAGATAATCTCAAAGTAGCATGGGTGTGTGGCAAATGCCTGTAATTCCAACACTTGAGAAGGACGTGTTCAGACCATCCTTGGCTGTAAAGTGAGTTTGAGGCCAACTTGGGCTACATGATACTATCTCAAAAAAGTATTCTTAGAGTGCTGAAGTTATGGCTCAGTGGATACAGTGCTTGCCTAGCATGCATGAAACCCTGGATTCGATTTCTCACACCAGGTGTGGCACAGGCATGTAATCCCAGCACTGAGGAGATAGAGACAGGATCAGAAATTCAAGTTCATCCTCCACTACTTAGTGAGTTTGAAACTGTATCTAAAACAAACAAGAAAAGAAAAAACAGAACCTGGTGGAACAGATTTATAATCCCAGCTCTTTGGGAGGCTGAGGCAGAAGAATCACAAGTTTAAGGCCTGCCTATGCTACAGAGAAGAGTTCAAGGCCAACATGGATAACCTCATTATACGCTGTCTCAAAATGAAAAATAAAAATAGCTCTGGGGACATAAGTCAGTGGTAGAGCACTTGCTTAGCATGCATGATGTAAAAGATCTGCTTGTCTGCCCTTGACCTAATGGGTACTTCATGCCTGCTGCCACTTCTTCAGCTAGACCATGAAATACCTGGCATCTGGCATCTCATCTTTATCTTTTCTTTTTCAAGAGGAATGGCACCTTGGATCTCACAGTGCCAGGGTTCTGAGATTTTGTATCCCCTGTGGTTTCAGCCCCATGAGACTGATGGGTGAGCAAAGGCCACATGGATTGGTACCTGATTCTCTGGGCATCTGTGCCCACTATCATCCCCCTGCCTTGTCCTTTGTCTCCTACTACCCTTGACCTTCTTAAACTAACACTTGTACATCCTTTCCTCTATAGTCTGCCATAGACAGTCTATGCCCACTGCCACACCAGGGGAACAATACCTACCTCTGCTGGGGTGGGGAGAAGGCAAAAAGCCTATGCCCTGTTACCTGAGTGCCTGGCAAGGAGGTCCCTCCTCAGCCTGCAGCTGTCCACAGGGTCTACCCCTTCTAGACTATGGATCATGGATGCCTTCCTAGGGTTCCAGATCTGAGCCAAGAGCCTGGCATTCCATCTTGGGGATTGGACCTCTTGGTTGATGCAGCTGGAATAAGTAATTGGGAACTGGTTGTGTGTTGTACATACGTGGCAGGGTGGGCGTGCACACAGTAGGCCCCATAGGCAGGATGGGTGGGGTCTCAGAAACCTCTGGGAATACCTCTTGAGTGTCCAAAATACCCTCCAATTCCAGATATTATAGCCAAAAATTTAGAAAATTCAGTGATAAAACCTTGTGACTTGTCATTTCTTAGTTTTGAAAATATAGTAAGTGCACACAGTTTAAAATCAAACAGGCATGCAGGTCCAGAGGGCATGGCAAATTCCCCCAGGAGCCTGCCTCTGAAGTTTCCTTCTATCTACCAGCTGCAGAGGAAACTAGCATGGCTTGCTTCTTGTTAACAGTGCTTTGAAGTGAATTTGTACTTTATTAACTACAAAGTTAGCAGACATGTTTGGACGAGGCACCATGTGGGCGGACAGGCTGTGGGTAGGGGAAGATGCTGAACACACAATGCCTAAGAATTCTCAGATCTGAAATCTAATCGTTAGCATTGATTGAGCATGTGAGAGTCACAGAGATCTGGAACAGGTTAGGGACACAATGAGTGGAACAGGATAAGCTGTCTGGTATCAGAGATGAGGGAAGATTTAAATGGCACAGTGACAGTAAGGAGGTGAAGGATCCCTCCCTGCAGTCTTGAGTCCTAAGGTTAACAAATTGGAAGTGACACGTGGAGTCCCTCCCTCCCCTCCAGTTGCCCCTGTGGTCTCTGGGAAACTACCTCAGGAGCCCAGCTGGTGCAAGGGCAGCCTCAGTGAGCTAGCCACTGCTTCCCTCAGTCCCTTTGATCTCCTTATCTGGCCAGCCTCTTCAGTGGGTTCATTTAGGAGCTTCTTCCAGTTAATGAGTTCTCCAGGCAAGAGGGCCCACACACCCTCCTGCTGGGCAGAGGCCTTCACACTTTTGGAGCCTATGTTTTGACAAGTGCCAGAGCCAGTGGCTTCTGCCCCCCTGGTCCGAGCCTCCTTTGGCTGCCAATGTGTAAGGCTGGGAAATGAAGCCTTGCAGCCGCCCCACCAAAACAGAGGTGAGAGTTCAAGCCTCATCTTGGTAGGAGGCAGGGGCCCCCTCTTAGGCTCTGGGTCCAGTCTTCACTCTGGGTCCTGGGCACAGCATTCACACCCACTCTTCAGCCTTGGTGCCCTCATTTCCCGGCCAGCTCCTTTGACATAAGAGTGCTAATCAAAAGTGCTATGCACAACTTCCTTGCAACTCCTAATCCCCTGCCCTGCTGGAACCAGAGGCCCCAAGAGAAGGAAGCCTCTTTTTTTCCACAGTAGCCTGTTTAGCATCAGTGGACGCCCCTAATTTTGGTCTCAGGCAACCAGGCTTTTCTGCCACCTCTGCACCAATCTGTCTGGGGAAAGGTTGTCACTAGCTCCACCTTCAGGTAGCCTAGGCCTCCGGGTTAGCGTCCTTGTCCTGTTCTATACTGCTGGTGCCACTTGGACACCCCTTCTACCAACTCAGGGCCTTAGCTCTGCTCCTGAGCCATGGGGTAAGGATCAGTCTTACTCATGTGTCACATACATGCTCTGTTGTCCTTTCATTCTGTCACTGTGTGGGGAGTTTGGCTGAGCTTCTGCTCCTGTTCATGACATTCTGTGATGAGGTGATACAGGTGAAGAAATGGAGACTCAGAGAGGCTGTCCCTTGTGACACACCTACTAAAGCCTCTGTTGTGGGCCACAGCCTATGTTCTGCCTCCCTTCTGCCTCTCCATCTCCTTTGGAGGATGTGAATGACTCCTTTCACCCTGGAGGGATACCTTGAGAGAGGGGCCCCAGGACTCCCAAGACCCCAACAGACCTTACTTCACATCCCAGAGGCCTGAGTGGGCATGAAAAGAAAACATTTTCCAGGCTCCATCCTGGACCTTGTGGGCCCAAATCCCTGCAGGATAAGAAGACTCTGGATATCAAAAGTAAAATCTCAGACTGGTGAGATGGCTGAGTGGGTAAAAGCACTTGCTGCCAGCCAGGCTACCTGAGTTCAGTCTTCACAGGCATAGTGGCACCTGCACTCATGTACACAATAATAAACATATATTTAAAATCTCTTCAGAATTATGAAGCAGCACTCCCCGCTCCCACACACATACCAGAGATAGAAAAGGCCCTGGAGAGTGTCCAGCCGCCCCCCCCCCACGCTGGATCCTGTACCCCCTTGGGTCACAGATGTATAAGGCAGGACACAGCTACTCATCGGGCCCAGCAACAGAGGCCCCAGTGTCTCCCCTGCCTGCACCTCCTTGTCCATCAGCCTCCTCCCTGCTGAGGCTCTCTAGGCTCCCAGGGGAGCCCTTCCAACTAGATCCTCATCCGCACTGCACCTCTCCTCACACCTTTAGCTCTTGGAGCCATTGAGCCGGCACACCATATGGAATAGATTATTCTGGACCCAGGATAATCTGATTATCTGGCCATGGG